GTTTCTGTTGCTACCTCAGTTTTCTCTAGGGAAAAATATTTTATTCTTTTAGAATACAAAATATTTGAGGAATTCCCAGTGGGCTTAGTGCAAACTGCTATCTTCTCAGCAGCTAGCCCAAAACTGTAAGACTTGCTCCTGAATCTGCCAGAATGAACACAGATCTCACCACTTTCCAAATAAAATTCAAAACTCACTTATTTGACTCCTCCTTCCCCCCCAAAAAATGAGAGTAGGGTAAAGAAACCTAAGATATATAAAGAACTTGAAATATATAAAAATCCTCATAAAGCACTCAGATTACAATGTGTAAACAATGTAAAAAATGAGAACAAATTTCTCTCACACCATAGCAATCATTATAATCTCAAAACAATAAGAGATGCAAGGTTTTTCCCAGTCCTCCAGAATGCACATTTTGAATTTTTCCCAAATTTGAACCTTTTTGTTCTATAGTACTTCAGCAGTTAAACAAGTTGTAGTTCATCCAAGACTTGCCCATACTACAGAGGATATAAAGTTAGAAAATGTCTTCTGATGTTGTTTGTCAAAAGAAACATCATGCTTCACTTCAGAAAGCTGAAATTCCACCAAACCTGGCTAACTGTATGGAGAAGGCCTGCTGGACCCAGGAATAACATGAATGAATTTTAGTTAAAGTTCCTCAAGGTAGGTTTTGCCTAATTTGTTTTGATTAGCTGTGTAATACTGTGTGATTTTTAGCTGTGACTATACATTAGTTTGAACTTAGAAGATTGTGTACCTGGTTTATCAGCAATTTTCTTCATAACCTTAGCCAATGGCTGTAATTCAGGAGATAAAATGATTTTTTAAAATACATTTTATTAAAAGGAATAATTTTTAAAAATGTAAAACTCAATCAATAATACTATGTAATTGGAAACACTATCCATTAATGTGATCGGTTTTTTTAAAGTAAAAAAATACCTCAGTAACGTGAGCTAGATTAAAACTACACTAAGATGTCATTGCATAGCAAACATCACATAACATTATGGTGACATCATAAGACGCAAAACCCCGCCCTTGTCATTTATTATGTCACTAAAACCTCATGATATATTTAACAAGTGAGAACACCAGAAACCATATAATTCCACTATTGTACTACAGTGATGAAATACACCATGCAAATCAAATGGAGTATGACCTTATGAAAACTCAATTTGGAAACACAGGTTTATAAACTCTCCTATTCTTTACTCTTCTTACAGTATACAATGTCAAACAATTTTTAAAGATGCCTAATAGCTAATTTGGTCCTGCCTCAGGCTTCTTGCTGTCCATTTCTTATTGGTTTAAAAGTTGAAAATTACTTGTCATCACAAATCTTGCATCTGTTCAGAATTTCTATGTTACATAGTCTCGCCACCTTTCCTATGTTCTGAAGAGTTTAGAACAAATGATATATACACACTGGATTATAAACTCCACACATCCTGAAGTATCCGAATTTATTATAATTCGTGAATCCAATTTAAAATGTATAATCCAACTTGGATTGCTGCATTAACAACAAAATGTGACCGCATTTCTTTCAATACATATAGCACTGAGAACACTGAGAGCCAGAAATGATGGCTGTAAATAAACTTTAGGGAACCCCGGGAAAGCTGGCCACACCCATGGTAAGTGGACATGGAGCTAACTAACATCACACTGGACCACAGATGTTGCCGGACCAGAGAGGTTCAACCTGTAGTACATTGTTAGGATTGCCACAAAAATAATCTATTAATTGACTATAGTGTTTTTATATAAAATTATCCTGACCGCTTTAAAACTAGTAGGGTACGGTTACATAGCACAGCTATTTTGGGACACTGGAAGTATCCCAAAATACCTAAGCCGTGTCTTTTGAACATGCCTGCTATTTCGAGATAGGTCTCGAAACAGCGGATGCACCATTTCGGCATCCCTGTAACCCTCGTTCCATGACAGTTGAGAGAAGTCTTGAAATAGCACACTATTTCAAAATTTAGTGCTGTGCAGATGCACCAAATTTCAAAATATGCTATTTTGAAATTCAATTGAAATAAGATACACAATTTGTGTAGCGTAAATTGTGTGTATCTTATTTCGAGTTTAGGGTGCTGTGTAGATGCACCCGTACAGATTAAGGTTCTGATTCTGTTTTGGAGTCTACTAGTGCACATCCTTTGCCAGTGCAGACTCCTTTTACTCACTGGGGACCTACTAGACAAATGCTGTCTTTCAATTTTGCTACGAAAAGATGTACTAATTCCCTAAAGATGCACCATCAGCACTAGGACTCTATTATGCTAAGATTTATGCATGTAAATCTCACAAGTAGAGTTACTCTTGCATGTGTTTTTTGCAGATTAAGATCTTTTAATTTGCACCCTTATTCTAGCTGCCATAGGTATAGCAACAGAAACAAATTGTTCTCAACAGAAACAGGATTCTATTCTAGCACAATCATACTATGTTAAGATAAATGCTTTTAGGAAATAACACAGGGCTAGATGATTGAGGTACACATGCTGATGCATACCTATGGAGCTGTATAAATTAATAAACAATAGTAATTGCTCTCTTAGTAACATGGCAAAGTGCCCGAGGCTGTGCTATCTCACCTTCCTCAAGAGACATACTGCAAAATGACAGAATGCTTACCAACTTGTTTAGTGACATTGTCCATGGCAGGTCTGTGAAACCATCAGTGGGAGACATATGAAGAGGGCAATCAGACATCATTGACACAGGGATTTTTAATTGATTTTAAATTAAGGTCACTGTCCCCAGGCCACAGCTAGATTTGATTATTTCTGACATATTTTAGAAGGGTGATAGTAAAGATGGTGCTGCACACACATTTCTGACTTAGGGCCCATGAGGGTTTTGCAGAGGTCTGTGACCCAGCAAACTTTTATAACGTACTGTGCACCTACATCTAACATTGCTACTATCCCACTGACAATAGTAAACATCGGCTATGTGTACACTCGCGGTTTCAGGCGCAAGAACATCTTGAGCAAGGGTTCTTGTGCAAGAAGTCTTGCGCAAGAAAACGTCCACACTGCCATGTGCGTGCTGTGCTTTTGTGCAAGAGCTCCTGTGGCAGTTGGGACGCTCTCTTGCGCAAGAAAGCTCCGACGGCCATTTTAGCCATAGGGCTTTCTTGCGCAAGAGCATCCACATGGCCCTCTTGCACAAGAGCTCCTGCGCTAGAGGGCTTACACCTGTTAAAAAAGAGCGTAGCTCTTGCGCAAGAAGCCCTCTCTTACCACGCCGTACTGTAAATTTCCTTGCGCAAGAGCGGGCGGGCAGTGTTGACGCTCTGCGGATTCTTGCGCAAGAACAGCCATACTTTCACAAGAAGCTGCGAGTGTAGACATAGCCATCTTGTTCAACCATTCAATTTATTCTCAGTTAATAGTTCTTAAACCATCATAAACATGTTAATAGTCCTTAAACCTTCATAAACATTACTGCTTTCCATTCCAAGTATCTGACTAGAATATAACAATCTTCCATCACAATGCAGACTGATACACCATGTACTAATATGCTCTCCAATTGTCCACTGAATGGTTGTAATTGAATCTAGGAATCTCCTTTAAATTCAAGTTCATAATTTTAAAATATTTAGGAGACAGGAGAAGAAAGAGATTGTCTCAAGCCTTTGTAATATACTTAAGAATGTATCAGCTGGATCTATAGTTGACTCCTTTTATATATTGATTCCATTTGCTGTGAAATGCATCCCTTGTCACAGAATCGTACTCTTGGACATGCATGTTGTTGTTTTTTTTTAAATAATGATTCTCATACGGCCTTCATGCCTCTAAAGAAAACCTGGGAACTGTGAACCCAGTGTAAGTTGGTGCAATGTTCTCTCCCTATGGGTATGTCAACACTATGGGATGAGGTTAAATTAATTACTATGTTAATTATGTAGCTAAAGTGGAAGTACCTTAACTAGGGATGTAATAGTGTAGTCAACTAACCGATAAACAAAAGCTTATGGATTAATGTTATAGACTACATGCATTTCTTTCCCCCTCCCCACTCGTAAAATTTTTAGCAGACTAGCCAGCAGCCCCTTGGGCCTGGCTAACACCAGGTCCGAGACCTACGCCTGCTGCAGCTCTTAATTTAAAGTGCATTAGGAGCCAGGTGGGCAAGCAGCCAGCTCAGTTCCGGCTCAGGCCGGGTCTGGGAGCTCAGACCTCGCCCCCTGGACAGAGGCTGCTGCTACCCCTGCATCAGAGGCAGCAGAGTGGGGCCTCTCTTGCGGACCACCTCCTGCCTGGCACCCCACAAAAGCAGCAGTGCGGAATGGCAAGGAGCTCTTTGGTAGTGGGGCCAGAGTGCACTGGCTGCCGGCCCCACCCACGGGGACTATAGAATAGTCAAGTAACCAATAAGAATTCATGAGGTTAATTGACTATTCAATTAACTGATATTGAACATCCCTAAGCTTAACTCGACTTTTGGCGCTGTCCATACTGCAGGAAGTTTTCGACTTCCCTTACTCCTCATGAAAGCAGGACTCCTGGCATTGACTGGAGTGTCCCTCTCAGTTCGACTTAGTGTGTCTTCCCTAGACCTTCTAATTTGAACTCTGGAAGACCGACAGCAGCAACTTCAATCTTCTCTGTAGTGTAGACTTACCCTGAGTGCTGACAATCCTGAAACAAGAGCTTCCCCACTCAGCTCAAGATGGTGTTTATTCTGAAACCTAAATATTACAGTTTAAACTAACTGATTCATTGATGATCATTTTACTGAAAGCATCCTGGTAATATTCTCCTCCCATAGCTCTACACTGCTTTCTCTACAGACAAAAGTCCTAACTGCCTTCTATTCATCTAGATGACTCTCCTGCTTCTCCTCACAGCTTCCGTAATGCAGTTATGCATTTCCAATATACAATTTACATAATACTAAAAATTAAAATGTGGACACCACACAGTTAAATGTAAAATTACATTAAATCACATAGGCTCTTTCACTGCATGTATTATTTATATTCATACTTGATTCATCAAACTCCATCATTTTTAAATTTAAAAGAATCTATTATTCAATTCATATTTGCCCTATCCCACATGCTGTTGTTTCCAGACATCATGTCACAGAATTTAAGTCAGTATACTGCAGTTTACCCAGGGCTTTGGTTTTGGTGGTGGGTGTATCTGAAAAAAAAATTGACAAGATGGGTAAAACAAATGAAAGATTAGAAATGTATAATCTCTCTCATTAAAATACTTATCTCTATTATAAGAAGTGATTTTTCTGATCTAGGTTTGATAAATCTAGTAGGTCTACTTGGTCATGGATTCTCAACAGGGAACCATTCCCTTTCCCCTTTAGCAATATAGGAAAGGCGATCACTCTACCTTTCCTATATTGCTAACAGGGAAAGGGACTCACCTACAGTTGCAGTTTGGAAAAATCCAAGAACCACAGTACTAAGTACTGTAATCAGTCACTAAGCTTCCACTAGGTTTATTATCAGGAAGTTTTGACCTAGATTCCTAAGGGCTAGTGGAGGAACACTTGAAACAAAACTGCACAAATTACTATAAGGCATACTGTAGGGGCACTCCTGCACTATTTGGAAGATGGAGCTAATAAGTCTTTTTTCTCCTCATTAATTCCAATGATGCTATAATGAGAGGGAGTATGTGTCATTTAGTATTTCTAAACCCATAATCTATTTGATCCAGACCCAATTAAAGATTTTGAAATGATATTATACACTAAAACTCCAAATCTGGAGCAGTTTATTAATATCCCCAGAAGCCCAGATGGACATACAATCATTTATATAGTGGGCATCTAAAGGCATACTATGTAATATTAGACATAGATTTAGTTTAATGCTCTGAGCCATCCAACAAGCTGCTAGGGCCGCTAACACAAAGCACTTTAAAAATTGGTTACATAGTAACAGCTGGGATGGGAGGAGTTCTGAGGATGGGGAATGAGGGTATAGGAATTGCAGGGACACAGACGGTCGTCACACAAAAACCAGAGTAGGGGACCTAAGTAAAAAAAAAAAAAAAAGAAAAAAAGAGAGAGAAGAGGATGCACCATAGAAGCAGCAGGGGAGCATTGACAAATATGGGGCAGAGGAAAAACAGAGGGAGTACACAATGGAAGGGTAGATAGGCCATAACTCCTCTGTTATTAGGGGAGAGGTCCCCCATTACCTCAGCTGTTGCGAGGCTGTCAGGACTGCACTGTAAACAGTAGGGTTAAAAATCCGGTGTCCCCCATTCAAGGCGCCCAGTGTATGAATTTGGTTGCCACGTCCGGGCCAGGCCACCTCTTACCACAGTCTCAGTGGAGGCAGACCCCAGCTGAAGCCGCTGGTGCGAAGAAACCGGGATCCACCCACGCAGATCCAGGGGCAGAAGGGACTCTAAAGAGACGCAGCCATGAGGGTGCGGAGTGGGGGGCTCCGCGGCCAGCGAACGCCCGCCCCGGCTTCCCACCGCCCCCCTCCAGCCCCTATTTGCCCCGCACCCTCCCCCGCGGTTTCTCGCCCTTCCCTTCACGCCCTGTTCAATCCCCCAGCTCCTCCCTTTCCACCTGCTCCCATCACCCTCGGCCCCGCACCCCGGCCGCGTCTCAGCGGGGGCCCGGGAGCAGAGGCAGCCCCGCGCCCCCGCAGCAGGCGAATGGGCAGCAGCAGCCGCAGCAGCCTCACTGCGGCTCCGCGCATCCCCCCCCCCCGCGTCAGGCATGCGCCGTAGGCTGCGAGCGAGCGATTTTGGAAGGGGAGGGAGACGCGACACTCCCCGGCATGTGCACCCGGGGGGCGGGGACAGCGCCTCCACCCACTGCCCCCCAGCCTCGCGTGGGAGGAGGCGGGGGAGCGGGCGGGACCCGGCTCCCCAGCAGCAGCAGCAGCAAGGACAGGGAGGGCGGCAGCAGCGCGGCACGTACCGTGGCTCGGCCACGCCAGTCGGGCGGCGGCGGCTGACAGCGCCGCAGGAGCCCCCCTCCGCCCGGCCGGAGCAGGCGCAGCGCCCCGGTGCCGCGGCGTGACAGAGCGCGAGCTCCATGGAGCCCAGCTAGGGGCGGCCGCCGGGAGAGCCGGGGTGAGTGGGAGGCGCCGCGGCGCGGAGGGAGGGCGCAGCCCTGCGCGGGGGCTGTGGGTGCGCGGGGAGCCTGCCTGCCTGCCTGCTCGCGCCGAGGGGGACGAGGCTGAAGGCTGCCCCCCCCCCCCAGGATGTATCCGCGGGAGGCGGGCGAGCCTGCACGGTCATTCTTGGGAAGGTGACATCAGTGGGGCTGGCTCGGAGGCGCTGGGTGGGAGGCAGGGCGCAGCCGGCTGACAGGTCGCTGGAGCCGCCTGGGGAGGAGGAGAAGGCAGGCGGCTTGCAAAAGGGGCTGCCACCGGCAGCCGTCACCGAGATGCTGCTTCGCAAGGTCTGCCACAGACAAGAGGATATGGGGGGGGGGCGACTATGCAAAGGGGGAGGAGGGATCGGAGGGAAAAGTGAATTTTTGGGGTGGTCAGGGATGATTGGCGCAGCCCGGAGGTGCGAAGGCAACGGGATTGGTGCTGGAGGAGGGAGGCTCTTTGCGCCGCTGTTTGTGCTGATTTGCATCCAGCGGAACAATGCTAAAAACTGCCTTTTGGTAGGTGATGGGAGAGATCGTTTGGGGGCATCCATCTCCTCTTAGATACTGCGGCTGGGAGAATGAATTTTTTTCAAGGCTGCTGCTTAAAAAGCGATGTCTGCTCCCTGCGGCTCTAGTGAGCAGGGTTTGCTGTGAACTAGTATTTTCAAGGATTTTGCAAAATGCCTTCCTGCACCCTTACGACCGGCACGTTAGAGCAGACACAATTCGCTCTGCGGTATGCACTTCGGGAGCCCTATAATAAACATTCGGATGTTCTGGGAAATGGTCAAAACAGGGAAGCTATGAAGTTCCCAGCTATAAAGCACGGCAAGCACACAGAGAATTGCCGTGTTATTTCTCTTGCCTTGGCTACATTTCTAGGAGCCACAACTCTTTTCGGTAATATTGGGTAACACAAATAAATCTTGCATCAATCTGATGGGGCTGTTCTAGCTGAAAGAGTTGATTTTTACATACATTTATTGTAAACCATGACTGTTGTGTCACATCGCACTGAATGGTGTCTGAATGTTTAGTGAAATGAAATCCCATCACAGTTGCTGTTTAGGGTTAGAAATGTTGCCAAACAGCTGCTGCTTTGTGTTTCAATTGTAGAGGTCCCAAGAGTGGATTTTGGACGCAGTAAGAGAGAGATGGTGTGTAAACATTGAAGGAAGAAGATGAAGACCATGTATATATGCTCACAGGGTGTCTTTTTACAAAACTCTTAAACATAATTATTGGGCATCTGGAATGGGGAGCTTTGCATGAATGTGAGAAAGAATTTAGATAAGGTAGACCCATTTTTACAATAAACAAACATTTCCCAGTTAACAGGGATTCAAATACTTGGATCACTGAACAAAAGGAAATGCTGAAGAGAAATTGGGGAGAAAAACCCTTATATTTAAAGGTTGGCAGTAATGTGATAGTGATAATTTTTCATAGTTAGTAGTGAAATAGTTGGAAGATTTATTGTTCAAAAGTTGCATCAATTTCTTTTCATTGTTCAGATCCATAGTGAAGGTTGCCAGGAAGATAAATTATCACCTGTGCTCTTTGTTATCTACAGTGGATAGAGTTAATTGTTTCTTCTGGATTAGGTAATTATGGGTTTTGTGTCACTTGTGTCAGAGTAGTGAGTTTTGGATGCAGATCTTTTTGCATTTTTAATAATCTGTAAATATTTTACTAAAGTTTTACATGAACCAAATAACACTGTGAAGAGTCTGAGTGCGCTGTGATGGGGATAAATAGATTACATCTTTTCTTAAATGATGGGTTTTGCTGTGTGTGGGGGGGGGGCAGGGGTTGTAGTTGCTTACATTAATTTTCTTCTGTGTTATTCTTCATATGAATATTTTAGAAGAAACCTTATTGAAAATACCAGAAAAAAATGCAGTGAAATAAATTGTAATATTTAATTCTAATTGTAATGTGTTGGTTTGAGAGGGAAGATCATTTTGTTGCTGAAGAATTCCTGGATTCTTCTATATTAACACATTTGATTAAATCACGTTTTCACTTTTTCACTATCACCTTTTTAATATAGCTTATTCTCTAGAGAAATGATTTAAAATAAACTTGAAATAAACAATATATTTTCTTCTTTGACAACTGGCAAGACGATGTTTAATTATTAAAATACTATAGAACATTGCAGAATTACAAACATCACCATTAAGTATAGCACTGTTTCTCAAACTTATTTGATTGGGTCCCCCTTTGTGTCTGTAATCATTTATGGCTCTGGTCCCAATAGTACATATACTGCCACCCAGCTCTGAAGGCAGAGCGGAGAGTGGCCGGCTGCTGGCTGAGTGCCCAGCTTTGAAGACAGCACAATGCCAGCAGCAGCAGAGAAGAAAGGGAGGCGATGTGAAGAGTGATATGTGTCTTTCACAGCAGCCTTAGTTCCCCATTGTCACCCTTACTTCTGCACAGCTGCAGCTGTCACTCTGGGACTGATAGTTGGAGCCCTACCCTCTCTGAGTGAGGGATCAGAGGAAGGAGAACCTAAGCCCAGGCTGCCTCCCTGTGAGGGATTGAAGGAGGATGGGGGGCAGGCGAGTCTGTGTGGTGGGGCTGTGGCTCTCAACTCTGGGGCAGTGGGGTGCCAGCTGACTGTTTATGACTGCCCACCTCCCAGAGATGCACAACCTTTCTGGAGGAGCCCCAGCCACCTGGAGTTGACAGAACTCTCAAAAACAAACAAGCAAACAAACAACAGCCACACAGCTTGCATCTCCCTTGACACATTCATGTGCCTTCCTTGGGAGGCTTGCCCCATAGTTTGAGAACTGCTAATATAGAGGAAGTAAAATCAGAGTGCTTCCTTTTTCTTTCATTTGATATATACATTTGGGGAGTTCTACTCCTGGAAAGAGAGACACCAGTGGCACTTACTGCAGCTAGACAAAGCTCTATTTGGGGCCTCATTGAAAGAGCCAAACCTTGCCTCCCTCATGATATTCTGCTCCTTTACTTTATTTTAAATCTACTTGCTCTGAAGCATTAGAAATGGCCACAATAGGAGGTTGGGCTCCGAAGTGGCATCATGCGTACATTCTCTCAGGTGCTTGGCTGGCTGGTTCTTGTTTACATGCTCTGGATCTAACAGATCACCATAGGTGGGATGAGGAAGAAATCTCCCCCATTTCCAATCACAATAGGTTGTGGGTTGTTTTTTTTTTTTTTCGTGCCTTCCTCTGCAGCTTGGAATGTGGGTCACTTACCAGGATTATCTGGGCATATCTCGCTTAGTAAATTCCCTGCCACTGAGGGAGTGCCAAGCTCTGGTACACTTTGGTCTCTCCTGTTCTTGGCCTATGGCACATAATAATTTAGTCTGCTCTAAGCTGTAATATTTTGGTTTAGTTTTAGTTGTTGGATTTAGTTTGTGAGGGCTGGATGGGGCTGATGGCCTGTGATGCACAGGAAAGCAGACTAGATAATCTAGTGGTTCCTTCTGGCTTTGAGCTCTCTGCCTGTAAACCCATTTTATCTTGCAATATGGCTGAAGCCAAATTTGAACATGAGGTAAATCATAGTAAATTAAGCTAGAGCGACATTTAGCTTCCATGTCTGTACATACAATTCTGAAACAGTGCCAGTAGACATATCTGTCTGAGTCTCGCTGCATCAAGAAGCTCCAGAACTATAATTTTTCCAGGGGTACTGACTGGCTTCTGGTGAGAACACAAATGCTAACCATTATAAAGTGCATGTATTGCATTAAAAGCAGATTCACTGGAGCTGGTTAGGGGAAGGCATAGAATCTATGGCCCATAACAGATTGCAGGTTCAGGAGACTGAAAGATGCAGTGAACAGCCATTTGAAACTTACGTCCAATCAGAGCCCAAAAGAACATGGATTATAGTAGAAAATGTGAGTCCATATGTAATGAAGGAGGTTGACCCTCTGGTCTTAGACACAGGTGGTCTAGGTGCAATTTCTGGCTATACGACAAAGTTCTTATGTAGCATTGGGAAAGTCACTTATTCGGAATAGCTAAACCTGACAAAGAGTGAGGGAACAGAAAGATTATCAGTTCACCAGGGTAGGGACTATTTCTCACTCTGTATTTATAAAATGCTGTGCACAACAGACTTTGATCTTGTTTGAGGCTTTTAGGATAACAGTAATGCTCATCATAAATAATAATGTAACAAAAAGATGGTCAACAAATGATGCCTTGAGAGTTCCGTATGCTGTCATATGTTTAAGTCAACAGAGGATGGAGGTGGAAATAAGTAGCAATCTTGGAATAACAAGAGGCTTCTTATTTTAGCATGGAAAAGAGCCAGAGATAGGGTGGTTGTTGCTAGGGGTGTTAAAAATGTAACCATGTAATTGTTAAAAATCCTAGCGGTTACACGCGCTGTGGGCTCTGCAGCACAGCCAGCTCCCCGGAAGCAGGGCCAGCAGCTGGCCCCTTTCCCGGGGAGCCAGCTGCTCTGTGAGCTCTGTAGTATCAACTTTATACTGCAGAGCCTGCAGCACGGTGTGGCAGCTGGCTTCTCAGTAGCAGGGCTAGGAGCCGGCGTGAACCATCACGGAAACCGATAAGCTGATTGGTCAACAGTTTAACTGGTTACTCTCTTACATCCCTGGTGGTTGCAGCCTTGCTGGTTACATGATAATATTTTCACTTGAGTACTGAAGAGCAGGACTCTAACTCTGGACTTCAAGACAGAAGGCTAAAGTAGCAGTTTGCTTCTATAAAAATACAAATTATTGTAATGAGGCTCAGACCCTCTTAAGTGACTCATGGATTTATTTATTTCAGGTGTTTCTATGTCCCAAAAATGGGGCCAAATATAAGGCATTTGATGTGGCCTATAGTTTAACCCCAATTACTTCTACATAAATCAAGTAACAATTACAGGTGCTAAGTACACATTTGTTGAATGAGTGCAACCTATGAGAAAAGATTAAGGTAGTTTTTTAAAATGTCATTAAAGTAAAGTGTTTTGAAAAAATAAAGACTAAACAACACTATTAGACATTAGCTTGACTTAGTTGTTCACCATGGAATCCATTGTGCGGAAAATGGAGGCAGGTATCTCATTCCAATGAGAGAACGAAAATACAGTATGTAGTGTCCTGTATTAGAGTATGATTAGAGAAAATCAAAATTTTGTAGCTGTACAAACTCTTTGTGCTCACAAATTGAAAATGCTTAGAGAACAGAAATGGTGGTTTTGTAGAACAGTGAACGAGAGAATGAACAAAATGGGAGTTGGCAAATATTCTTGTACAGAACTGTCATGGATAAATGATTTACAGATATTTTGTTTTT